TTCTTTCAGCTGACGTATCATTGCTTCTACAAACTCTCCACCAAAATTGTAGTTCCTGGCATTCAGCAAGCCAACAAGAGTTGTGTAAATGGTCATCTTCTGTGGTAACAGACGTGCACTGATTTTTTTTTTCATAAAAGAGAGAGAAAGTAGTATCAAATACTAACTCTGATCACAACCGTCATACCATTACTCCTAGTTGTGGCTAATTCAAGCTATTTGGGATGCATACCTTTTGAGAAGAAGCAGTGTACCACATTAAAAATAAAGATACTGTGAGAGCCAATTCAGTCTTCATCCAAAGTTAATACTGCAATTCCCAATGGGAAATCAAACTCAATTGTATATAATTATGTAAAATCCTCCACTGTGGTGTTGTTGTCCCCCAATCCCAAAATTAGGTTAGCTTCAGACTGAGAAGGCAATACGTTCCTTGCAAAGCAGGGCTTTAGTTGAAAGGAGAAGGTCTAATGAGCAACAACTCAGGCAAAAATGCAATCCTTTCTTTGAGCTCTTATGAAAATTCCAGAGTAAGCTGGCACTGTGAATCACGTCTCAATGTATGGCTGCAAAAAACAAGTTAAATTAAGAGAATTGTATTGCAGTTACTGAGCCTGAATGATCAGCAATAGAGAACTATATTGACACTGCTGCTCCTCTCCACTCTCCTTCCTAATTATCCTATACTGTCTCCACGTTTCAAAAATTCTTTAAACAGGAAAATATATGCAAGCATACAATATATACAATAAAGTGTTTTGGAAAAGTTACCTTTCTCAAAAGCAATTATTTAAAAGCATATAATTAAGGTAATGCATTACCACCTAGTTCCATAAATGTTTTGCATACATACACTGTACAAAGGAGTCTCAGTATTTTGCTTTTGTAGTTTGGTAGATCTGCCTCCAAAACTCCAGCCAAACCTTCTATTCTACTTTCCAAAGAGAAAGAACTCTGAGGGGATAAGATATTAGAAAGTCATTATCATATCGAAATATATTACCAAGATGATTCTTATTAAAGGGTCCTGTCAATATGACAGCAAAGGCAGCTGTTAAAGCTACTAACCAAAAGACACTCTGCTACCATTCTCTATTCTTCTTTTTTCCTTAATGAATTTCTTATGGTAACACACAGAACACAAAGCAAAAAAACCCAGTGGGAAATACAAGAAGGTTCCAAACATGATATCTTTTTGATCCTCCTAAAATGCTAAATGAGGCGCTGTCATTCTACAATGAAAGCATCAGCTGGAAGGATCCCCCTTCAGTCCAAAATCTGATATTAATAGTTCTGTTTCAAATTTCAAATTTTAAAATCCTCCACAACTGAAAGAAGCCATCAATTAAATACAGATGCAAGCAACTTTTATGAGAGGCACTATTAACCTCAGGTCCCATCTGGCCCTTGTCTAATCTGGAGGAGGTCCGATATTTTGTGGCTGCACTTTTTAAAAAAGATTTTCTTTCCTTCCTTGGACTACAGTGAGTATGGCAGTAATGCTGCCATATCACCAGAAGGTTTTGGAATTCTCAGTATCATTCTCCCACATTTGAGGAGATTTAGGTTTTTTTAATAAAATGAATGCATCAAATTCCTGGGATGATTCTTTGTTGAAAAAATGAAGGAAAATCTCATTAAAATTTAACTGTCTGATCTTGGAGGGGCTCTGAAACTATAAAGTAGAGTTGCATGAAGCCTAGGGGTCATCTCACCTCAGCTTAAGTTTATGTAGCTATTGCCCCAGTTGAAGGAGCCTCTTGCAAGGAGTTGGTTCAGAACTCTGCCATAAAACATGTCCCAAGCAGCCTGATGGCAAGGAGAGAGTAAAAGAAAAGGAAGTATATCCCTTCAACTCTCTTCCTCACATATTGCCCCTGAGGGAATATGCTATTTGACCAATAAATAAATACAAATTTGCTCATGCTTGATACAAGGGACTGTGCATTTCTTTCCTAGTTCCAATGCAGATGCTTAAGAGGAAATCAGAGCTCTGAGTTCAGGCAGACCCAAAATTAGCCCTCCCTTCTTTCCTTGTGGAAAATGGCTTCATCTTTACCATGTCTGAACACCACACTGCAGTGATGCTGGGTCTGAATGATGAGAAATAAAAATTCCTTTTAATTGGGATATGATATGCTGAGCAGCAAACATTGATGAAGAGGAAACTCAAGTTACCATTAATCATGGTTAAAAGTGATACAAGTGTAACTTGTTAAATTCTGTAAGCTAAATTCAAAGTAAAAAAAATAATTTCCTACATCAAGGGAACATAAAGAAATTAATACAATTACCACAGGTTTTAACAATAGTGATGACAAAGAATAGTATCTCCAGTGCCATGGAATTGAATCATCTAAAATTCATACAACTGTAACATTATCCATTACTTTTACATATTTCTAAAACAACAGCAATTCCTCTGTGTAGCAAAAAAGTGGAAGAAAAGAAATTTCATAATTGTAATTTCATTTATACACTTGTTAATGTGATCTTGTAGTTCAATGTTATTCACTTAAGGAATGAGTTTATTATGCTTCAGCAAAATGATTCACGGCAGTTTCAATAAAACGCTTCAATAAATTTTAAAAAATCAATTACACCAAATAAAATAACAGTTGGATTTATTTACTATTCTGATATTACTCTATATTTCATTTTTTGCCCAATGGAGACATACAATAAATAATTTTAGACTGGTCAACAAGTAGACACTATTTTCATTTTTTAGTCTCACTGGTAAATTCTGGTATAGTGCTCCTTGTCATATTCTGTTTCCCCCTTTTTTCAGGCTGTTTTAAATCACTTGCTATTTTTTTCCTCTACTGAAGCAAAGCTTTATAATTATTGAGACTTTAAGTGGATAAAGGGCATGTAAGTAGGAATTCAGATAAAGTGAGCACTGACAGGATTGCAGTCCAACAAGGCCACAGAGTAATAAATATCCTCATGGCTGAGAGTTTCCAATATGAAAAGACTGAAGAACTCTAATCAGCCCAATGAGAACAGCTTCATCAGCTTAGCAGCCACATAATGTTTTCTTACTATTAATTAGAAAAGAAAACTGGAAAATCAAGGAAAGTGGAATGGCCTGCTGAAACAGAGCATGGGAAGTTGTTCAAGTACTAGTATTAGTATTAGAAACTGTAAGAACACTGCAACATATTATTGCAGGTACCGTTTATATAAGTGAGTATATGAAATGTTGGGGTCCAATTGTACAAGGATAATAAAAAGATTGCACATTAAAGAATACCTTCCTGCAGTTCTCAAAATTATCAAAATAGATTCTTTGATGGATGGTATATGAAGTAGAAACTGTTTTTAAAAATATACTAAAAATGGAATGTACACTCTAGCTTTACCCATTTCTAAGTATATATTTATCTCACTTGTATTTCAGTAATGTTATTCTCACACAGGGAAACCACAAAAATATGAAGTTGCTAGTCTTTCATACCTTTTCTCCCACTTTGCATATTAAGGATTCCAATCGCTCTGCAATAGACACTTTCCTTTTCTTGTACGGTTGTCCTATTTCAGTGAGACAAAATAGAAACACTGTTTCCAGGAGCAAAAATGATATCCCAACAAGGTGTGAGATACAGTCTCATTTGTAGGAGTAAGATTCAAAAGGGTTGCACTTATATTTACATGTTTCCACAATTTATTCCAGTATACTGCCATATTATATGATGCTGCATTGAAATGATCCCATTATTTAGCTAGAAAAAAGACCTCTTTATTCACACCTCAGTTCCATGGTTTTCTCCTTTTAAATTATATTTATTTGGAATCTGGTTAGAATAAATTGGCAATTAATAATAATATAAGTGTTTTTTTCCCTCCCCTTCCATCTTTTTACCTTTTTTTTGACATAGCTAAAAACAAGGACCACCTTCTTCTTCTTTATTTTTTTTTTAACTGGCCTATAGGCTGCACCAGAATCCTTTCAATTGAAGAGGGGGGAAGAAACATTAAAACAAATAAAAGTACAAGGCACATTATTACTTTGTTAGAATGCAGTGGGAGAAAGTGGAAAGGTGCCTACTATGATGTCCCCTTCTAATTCTGTGTGTTGTGTATTTTTGAAGGGGGGCTTAAAACTTGGACTGGGGTAGCAAAAAAAGCAAAACTTTACAAAAGGAGTAATTCACAGGAAGGGACTCCCAAAACCAAGTCAAGCTAAGATCTTTTAAAATCTTTTAAAACCAAAGACAAAACAACACATTCTGTGCCAGTCATATAACCCTAACACACTCCAAAGAAAAAGAGGATTTCAGGGAGGAGTGACAATTAAACAAGCAAATACAGACCAGGGAACCATTCATGTCTACTTATCATGTGGCTTAGTGCTAGAAGAGGAGGAGCCAAAATCCACACAATCTAAAGTGAAAATGGGAAAAAATCCAAACCTTTATAACACATTTTAAAGATCTCTGTTTACAGGCAGGCATCAGGAATATGAACAGAATCAAATGACTTTTCATTTCAAGTTCCAGAAGCTAAGTAGGGCATGTAAAATTTAAATCAATCTAGCCACTTGGAAATGCAAATGCTAGCTGCCAAGATCCTTTAGTCTTCCACTGTATCTGTGTAATGTACTCAAACCCACTATCAACTTCTGTGGAAGCCCAAGTGAGTCACCTGGGTTCTATCCACATTTTGTCTAGAACCTAATGGTGCTAATAATAATAGCTTAATACGTTGCTATAAAACAGTAACAAGTTATTTTATGATGTTAAAAAGAATAAGAGAAACACAATAGCTTTCTTACAGCCATGTATAATTTTGAATAAATAAGGAATTGCTAATCACAAGAAGTGCCCTACATCTGAAGAAATCTTCAGCAGCATACCCCAGAAATTTTCTTATCTTGTCTTATTTACTATGGCCCACAAAGGATTTCAGGACATCTTTCCAGAAGGAAGTGTCACAGTATGCTGGGTACTGAGAAAGCTTGCCTATCTTTAACATTAAAATTAAAATTGTTACAGCAAGTTCTAGAGTAACTTCAATAGAACTTGTAACTGTTTACAACTGGTCGGGTGGTCACTGGGCAAGCATTCACAATCAACAGACATATTTCTCTGCTTTACTTTTCCAGATATAAAAGGGAAGTAACACTTTTATACAAAGATTCATCAATCTAAGATTTCTTATATTTCTGTTTCTTGGTTACACAGAATGCCTAGAAGCAAAGACTTGTCTGCTCAAGGGCTGTAACTTAAAATAGGTTCTCAAAGAACCACAAAGATATTTTCCCTACACTTTGGCAACATCTCCACCGCTTGGGAAGGTTGGGGATAATTTACTGTCTGCCTCTATAGTCAGAAGCTAAGTTACTTGCATATCTCATTATTTATGAGTAATATGTGCAGGTTATATACCATGAATATTTAGCCACATGAAAGGCTTTATGCATTTCCCTCCTACAAAAGGGGAGGAGGAGAAGCTGGCATATCTTGGCCAAATAAAGCTGAACTTAATATCAACCTATTCATAAGCTACATAAAATTCTGCCCTATCTGTTGAGTCCGTTGCCTTTGTATGGCTGGGTAAGCGGGAGAAGATTAACCGAACTTGTGATTCTGCCACCCTTTTTTGCAATTATTTGCAAGTACATAGTGGCCCACCTGGATCTCAACCATAAAGCGGGATGGGAAACCAAACTCTTTCTCCCAGCTCATTTGTTCTGAAAAATTATCTCTGCTACCCACATCAGCAGAGAACTGAACAACACAAAAAAGTTACAGTAGGTCTACTATTACTGGAATGGTTTCATTCTGTTCCCAGTCCTGCAATTCATTTCCATGTCAGGTTGTGTGAGAGAGAGAAAGAGGGGAATGTTAACCAGAGGTTGATCACTGCTTGAATCCAATCCAAAGCACTAACATACAGTTGCAAAAATGGCAAACAACAACATCTTGAGAAGCTATACTCACTTGAGAATAAAACCTAAGTTCAGATATAATCCTAAAATGTGCTCTGAAATGGAAGAGTCTGTTCCCCTCTTCCCAACTAATGCCAGAAAATCAAGTGTATAGAAGGAAATGTGAAAACACAGTTCAGGTGCTGGGAAGCACCCAATGTATGAAGCATGGCCTCTAAATGCCATTATATGACAAAAGTTATTGCTTTCCTTGATTCTCAAACCTAGAAAGAGTGCCTATGAATTCAGAGTTTTTAAAATATGCAACATTAAAGTGTGGACAGTTATACCTGTGATACTAACATACAATATATTGCTATAACAATGTATAACAATGTGCATCTGCCAATGGAGAAGCATCTTTCAGAATAACAGATTCCCTATGCCCATTTGTCTAAGTAGATCTGCAGTGCTTGTGAAGAAAAGTATAGAGTTCCGGTGTGTGCACAAAATCTGTGAATTTACAACAAGATCCCATAAAAATGATAATTTTTAAAATTGGTTACAAGGTGGGAACATGTAAAACTCTTTCATTGCTACAAGGCACAGCTCAATTTCTAGCTGGAGAAAAAGACACTGGAATATGGGGTGGAGCTGTTCATTATTACATTATTAGGCATAATGTACCATACCTTGCAGATGCCAACTGCAAATCAGATTTGGCTAGTTCGTATTAAACTAACGTTCTTCAAGTTATTCTCCCTAATAACCGGGAGAGTAATTGATATGTAACTGATTAGAAAATTATCTATCCA